TGGTATCGGTGCATCCCTAGTGACAACGGCTCCGATCAACATGGGATCTGTGCATGGATCCGGTGCTGATCGGAACTGAAGGTGCCCCTGTGAAACGGCTCTATAAAACACCAGAGGTTGTCAATCCAGGGAATGTTCCCATTGCAAGGGAACAGGAAATATTTTTTAAATTATTTTTGCCTTCCTCCAGATCAACTGTGGGTAACTGTGGGCATAGCGTTTTGTTTATGAAGGTTTCTCTATTTTCTTATTTTTCTCTATAGGTTGAATTGAATAGATCTGTGTCTTTTTTTCAACTTGAATAATTATATAACTATGAATGGTCAGCCTAAGGTTTTAACACTTCACTAAACTATTGAAAGACAAAGAAGGGAACTTTTTGGCTGGACATTGAAAATGTCATTTTTATTCTACAATAAAATGATTTTAAAAATAAGGGGTTAAATTCCACATGGCATGTCCTTCCTATTAGGAAACTGGAACATGTGCTGTTTGCAATGTGAAGGAGTAAACGGGAGGTGGAACAGAGAGAGATACATTCCAATAATCTACGATCTTTCCACAAGGAAGTTGTTACTGAGAGAAAGAGAGAACCTAGCACAAAAGGTCATACAGCATTGTCAGAGGGTGTCAGGCACCCGGTAAATCGCAAGAAAGTTTACACCATAGTAAAGGCGGTGGATTATGAATTAGATTCTCAGCAGACCTGAAGGAGGCAACCACAGAATAAAAATACAGCCTGCCTTGAAACACAGGCCAAAGAGATTCAGACTGTGACCACTGCGATGGCAGAGCCGCTGAATGTCCTTGATTTCCAGCGAGTCTTAGGTTTTGGAGGTTTGTGTCCCTGGAAAATGTCCTTGTGTTTGAACAGTCTTCTACTTGATAATAAGTCCTCTGTTTCTGACATTTCATTTCGTTCTTAAACTCTTTTATTATCATCTTAATATTGCTAAAAAAAAGGCTTATTTAAATATTAAAATTGTATAATGCAATTTAAAAGAGAGTGCACCAATGATTGTCCTCCAATACTTTAAGTGACACTAAACTCAGCAATTAAATCTTAAAAATGCGTTCAAGTACCTGAACTAGTAACAAATAATGTATGTTATTTGTGTATCACTCAGCTGTAGATCCTCAAATCATCTCTGAATTGGTGCTGACATTGTCCTGACATGGGGAACAAATGTAGCCACCCCCCAGAAGGAATCACAGTGTCAACACCAATTCAGAGATGATTTGAGGATCTACAGCCGAGTGATACACAAATAAGATCAATTTTTAGTAATAGTTAAGGTACTTGAATGCATTTCCAAGATTTAACGTGACATTAAGGTCACAGTTCCCCCCGCCCCCCCCCTCCAATGCTGCTTTAAGGACTTACCTCAAATGATGCATCTTGTTCCGATCATCTCGTTCCTTCCACTTGTTTTAAGGAGTCCCTCCAGTGCTGGTTCCGGTCTCTGATCCATCACTGACTGCTGTGTCTTCTGTGTCCCACGGTGTCTGTGCGGGTACATGCTGCCGGGCTGCCTGCATTGACTTACTCTGTGTCTCTCCTCTTCTCCCAGCCGTAGATCTCTACTGCGCATGCGCCTGCCCCATAACCCTTCACAGCCACTCGAGAGTCTTCAGATCTTCAGACGGGAGCGAGCGGCGAAGACACAGGTAAGTAATTACCTTTTTTGTTAACTTTTTTATTTTTTTAATGTTTTTGAATATATCTACTGCTTGCTAGCAGTAGATATATGCAAAAAAAGAAGGGAAAAAAAAACCAAGACTTTAATTACACTTTAATTTCTGAGTTTAGTGTCACTTTAACATGCGTCACTTGCTTAGTAACTCTGCATCTGCAAAAGAGCTCCCCTTAAAAACATTTTTTAAGTATTGGCAACTAATGTGTCACTAAATGGTGTCGTACTATTTATGCATAATGTGATAATTGAATCATTTCAGAGAGTGAGATTATTTGTTTATTTTGTTCAGGTATTGAAGGTGTAACACTATTTTTTCCTAAATGTAATAGGAATTCACAATTTACTATAAAGCACTCTAGGGATATTTCTGCCTGCCAAAATAAACAAAGGGAGATCACAGGCACCAGCGCCAGGGACAGGGAACTGCCATGTCATGCTGTGATGATGTCACACAACTGTACCAGTCCCTGACACCGAGGGCTGGATGACAGCTTTAAATCTGGACACCAGTTTTTTTTTTTTACTGGGACTAAAGCCATAGAAAACCTATTTCACTTGTCACACCGTCACCCACGACATGACGATGGAACACAGAATTCCGCACTCTGTGTATTCTCACACGTGGAGTTCATATTCTTATCTGTAGACAACTGAACAGTGTCTATAAGCACAAATAGGAACATGGATAGCAAATATAGGATGGATTCTAGCAGAAGTCATAGCAGAATCTCATTGCTGCTCCTATTATATGTCTTATAATCACATTTCATTTTCAGGACCCTGATTTAGATCATTAAGACGCAAAATATATCAAACTACATACAGATCCCCATATCAATACACAGAATTATAACCACATCACAATATTGAAGCTTATGCAAAAAATATTCCTCATCATACATGGCATACACCAAGCTAAAGGTAAGAAAACCTATTAGTAACCTAATTATGGTTTTCCACCAAAAATATATATATATATATATATATATATGGTGAAGCACATGAAGTAGACTGTAAGCTTCTGGGTTCACTCATTATGAGTCAACTTTTTGGTATCATATACACTCCTCTCATAAAGTTACTTAGAGAAGAATGATGCATCAAAGTCTTTTCAATATTTAAAGTTAAAATACATGGCAATATTTAAAATAAGTGTGTGTGTTTTTATCTATAAATATCTGTATATATTTACACTGTAGTATCTGTTTCACTGACTCCTACTTACATGTTGCCAATAGATAAGATACATCCACTGCCCAAGGAAACATTTGAAATCATTCCATCACAAAGAAACTAAGATTAGGTAGATGGAAATATTCCCCTGGTGTTTAATTAGGATTTTCCACACAACATGATAATATATAGTGAAGCACATAAAGTAGACAGTAAGCTCTCGGGGTCATTCAGTATGAGTCACCTTCTTGGTGTTGTTAAAGCAGGATGATGTATTAATCTTCTTTCAAATTTGTTAATTAAATTGTATGACAATATTCTGGATATGTGTGTGTAAGTGTGTGATATATACAGTGGTACCTCGGTTCACGAGCTTAATTCGTTCCACGATTCTGGTCGTGAACCGAATTGGTTGCGAACCAAACTGCGATCAGAACGCGATCTCGACTAAAGGAAGCCACGACCATGTGTCAGAGCGGGGAAGATGGCTGAGGTCGTGTTCGTCACCCGATGTGGAGTTTGCGAATGGAAGCAACATTTTGCCCAACTTTCTGTATTGTTCTGCATTGTTCATGAACAGAAGCGTTTGCGTGAACCAAGGTATTACTGTGTATAGATATATATATCTCTATATATATCTATACACACTGCATTAGCTGTTTCCCTTTCTATTAGTTACTTGTTGCCAATAGATATGACATATCCATTGTCAACGGCAACAATTTAAATCATTCCATCACAAAGAAATTATGATTAAATAGTTGAAAATGTTTCCATGGCGTTTAATTCATATTTTTCCACACAAAATGATAATATATGGTGAAGCACATGAAGTAGATGGTAAGCTCTTGGGGTCATTCAGTATGAGTCACCTTCTTGGTATCATATACACACCTCTTATAAAGTTAGTTAGAGCACAATAATGTATCAATCTCTTTTCAATCTTTAAAATGAAATGATATGACAATATTCTAGACAAGTGTGCTTTATATACACACTGTAGTATCTGTTTCACTTGCTGTATGTTACTTGTTGCCAATGGATATGACATATCCATTTCCCAATGATGCAAATTGAATCATTCCATCACAAAGAAACTATGATTAAGTAGTTGGACATGTTTCCATGGTGTTTAATTCGTATTTTCCACATGAAATGATAATATATAGTGAAGCAGATAAAGTAGATGGTAAGCTCTTGGGGTCATTCAGTGTGAGTCACCTTCTTGATATCATATGCACACCTTTTATAAAGTTAGAGCAGAATGATGTATCAATGTTTGTCCAATATTTGAAATGAAAATCTATTGGGTAAGTGTGTGTTTGTGATATATAAATATAGATAGATGTACACTGTAGTATCTGACTTGCTCTTACCTACGGCACATGTTGCCAATAGATAAGAAACATCCATTGCCAAAGGAAACATTAGAAATTATTCTATCACAAAGAAACTATGCTGAAGTAGTTGGAAATGTTGCCATGGCATTTCTCCCCAGCAGCAGCAGTCCTGGAATGAAAGGTGTCCACCTACTTGTGGCTCCTGATAGGTAGGTGCTGGCTGAGCTTTGTCCTGGAAGACAAGTGCCTATGTGCCTGCCTGGTGATGTTCAGCAGCCCGGCTGACTAGTTCCAGCAGCATCAATGCACACAGCCCCGGCGCTCACCTCCACTCTGTGTACACACGCCTATCCACATCAGACCCCACAGTCATCCTCATCATCACCCCCATCATCCCCAATGTGTGTGACAATGAGCCTTGGGGAAGCCCCACATAACCGGGCGCCCGGCCAGGCGTCAGACACCCTTTTCTAGCCATAAAACGCTGGCGTCAGATGATGATGGGGAAGGGAGGCATTGAAAAGTCTACGATGGGGTTGCTGTGTGAAGTGAAGGGACAGGGCAATGCGCCAACACATGCCCATCAGGTCGTGTCATGACATATTGTGGCAAGCCGCTGTGCCATCGCTACAAAGTGACACATTGCACCCTTCAGCACAATAGCCAATGGTACAGGGCACCGGGAAAACAAAGAAAGGGACCAGAGAGGTGCAGTACAAAGCCCCCACCTCCCCCTCCTCCCATCGGATCCTGTGTCAGGCTATGCCACCCTTGCCATGTAGGCACTCACCGAGCTCTTGACGGGCACGTAGAGCACTTGCTTGTCTCCGGGCGTCACGTCGTCCGCATTGCCCAGCTGAAAGCCCTTCGATTTGACCCAAAATTTAAATTTGGCGTTATCCGTGGAGCTGGACTCGGAGCCATTGAGCAGCTGCACGATCCGCTCGTATTTCTTACGGGTCACTGTCTTGGTCTTCCCTGAGTCCCCATAAGTCCTGAGGCACCAGTCCTGGAACTGGCGGTACATGTCCCGGTCGCTCTCCATGTTCACTTTGCACCTGTTCAGCTCATCCACGGGCGGAGGGGTCCCGGAGCAGACACACACACACGCACACACCGGGAGGAGGGGGGGCGATCGATGTGACGATGTGAAGATTTCACTGTGCCCAATGGGTGTGTGGGGGAGGAGGGAGGCACACACACACAGACACAAGTCTCAGATGTTTTTGTTGTCCTTCTACGTGCCTCGTCTCCCTTCTGCTCAGCAGGCTGGGCTATCCCAATGGCTCTCTATAGCAGCAGAAGCAGCAGCAGCTACCCCCAGAGGGCTGGACGAGTCACATTTGGCGATGTCACAGCTTTGTTGAGGAGCATATCCACAGCCGGCTGTTACCTGCTGGACACAAGTCGCCTAGATGTCCTGCCTGGCCCCGGATGGTGAAGGGGAGGACGATCCAGCTATTCTATGTCCTGGATGGTGAAGGGTAGGATGGTCCTCCTATTCCATGTCCTGGATAATAAAGGGTAGGATGGTCCTCCTATTCTGTGTCCTGGACGATGAAGGGGAGAATGGTCCTCCTATTCTATGTCCTGGATGGTGAAGGGGAGGATGGTCCTCATACTCTATGTCCTGGACGATAAAGGGAGGGTGGTCCTCCTATTCTATGTCCTGGATGGTAAAGGGTAGGATGGTCCTCCTATTCTATATCCTGCCTGGCTAGGGATGGTGAAGGATAGGATGATCCTCCTATTCTATGCCCTAGATGGTGAAGGGTAGGATGGTCCTCCTTTTCTATGTCCTGGATGGTGAAGGGTAGGATGGTCCTCCAATTCTATGTCCTGGATGGTGAAGGGTAGGATGGTCATCCTATTCTATGTCCTGCCTGGCTCGGGATGGTGAAGGGTAGGATGGTCCTCCTATTCTATCTTCTCCCTGGTTGGGATGGTGAAGGGTCGGATGGTCCTCCTATTCTATGTCCTGCCTGGCTAGGATGGTAAAGGAAAGGATGGTCTTCCTTTTTCTATGTCTTGCCTGCCTCGGGATGGTGAAGGGCAGGATGGTCCTCCAAGTCTATATTCTGCCTGGATCGGGATGGTGAAACATAGGATGGTCCTCCTACTATATGTCCTATCTGGTTCTGGGTGGCAAAGGTCTATCTGGGTTTAGGATGGTGAAAGGCAGCACAGTCCTCTAGTCTATGTCCTGCCTGGGTTTAGGATGGTGAAGGGCAGGACAGTCCTTTTCTATGTCCTGACTGGATCAGGATGGTGAAGGGCAGGGCCGTCCTCCTACTCTATGTCCTGCCTGGATCAGGATGGTGAAGGACAGGATGGACCTTCTATTCTATGTCCTGGCTGGATCAGGATGGTGAAGGGCAGGATGGACCTTCTATTCTATGTCCTTACTGGATCAGGATGGTGAAGGGCAGGATGGACCTTCTATTCTATATCCTGCCTGGATCAGGATGGTGAAGGGCAGGATGGACCTTCTATTCTATATCCTGCCTGGATCAGGATGGTGAAGGGCAGGATGGACCTTCTATTCTATGTTTTGCCTGGATCAGGATGGTGAAGGGCAGGATGGATCACCTATTGTATGGATGCTGCTGGCATGCAGAAAACTTCCGTCTCCTGCCTGCTATCATACCCCGAGCCTGTCACCAACTTGTACAGGGCATCCGTGTACCAGCATGGGGAGATGAAGGCAGGCTCCGGTCCCCGGAGGGTTGTGGCCGGTGGAGACTGTTGCTGCGTGTTCCAGTTTAATATTGATGCACCCCGGACAGCCGTGCCGTTAGATCATGTCTAGAAGACAACAACGGCTCTCCTCCCCGGTACATACAGCGTGCCCGGCACACTTCTCCCGGCACAAAGCCGGTGGGCGGCACTATTGTTCCCAGCAGCCTGGAATCCGCTCTATTGTGGGATGATCGTCCGCTTCAGCAGCTCCTCTGACAAATTAGATGGGGGCACAGCCATGCCTTATAAGCCTTTCCAGATGCTGCAATTCCCTTTTCTTCTGGGTCCGTGCCTGAGAGACGAGAGCCAATTAGTGTCATTAGTGCCCCACAGAAAGCCCTCGTCCCAGTACTAGCAAAAATGTCCCCTGCCTTCGTTCATGTGTCTACTCCGCTTTATTGGAGGCTGGAGCGGCGGCTGGAGCCGGCCCGGGACTGACAGCTCACACTTCTTCCGTTCTTTAAATGGCTGCTGGCTGCTTTACAGGTATACTGCTGCCACCTACTGGACACAAGGAGCAATGCAGGTGGAAGGGTTAGTGGTGCTGATACACTGTCTATGCACTGATATATCATTCCCCAGACACGTCCCATACAATAATCCTGAGCCTACAGTCATACTACAACTCCTGTGTGCACACCAACATTTCCCATGCTTTTATCAGTCAAAGTATGCAGAGTCTTGAGGCACCCCAGTGTAAAACGTTATGGATTTTAATGGGGAGATCCCGTGGAAATATAAAAAAAGTGAGGGTTCCCCTTCACTTCAGAGCCCCCTCCCTTTTCATATCAGAGTCCCCCTTTACATCAGTAGCCCACTTTACACCAGAGCTCCCCTTTTCATATCAGAGTCCTCCTTTAAACCAGTAGCACCCTACGCATCAGGAGCACCCCTTTACACCAGAGCTTCCCTTTCATATGAGAGTCCATCCCCTTTTACATCAGAGTTCCCTCTTCACTTCAGAGCCCGCCCCCCCCTTTTCATATCAGAGTCCTTCTTTAGATCAGTAGGCACCTTCACATTAGGAGCCCCCCTTTACACCAGAGCTCCCCTTTCATGTCATAGTCCATCCCCCTTTACATCAGAGTTCCCTCTTCACTTCAGAGCCCCCCCCCCCCTTTTCATATCAGAGTCCTTCTTTAGATCAGTAGGCACCTTCACATTAGGAGCCCCCCTTTACACCAGAGCTGCCCTTTCATACAACAGAACATGGCTGAATTTGGAACGGACTATATTCTATTCCATGTTCTATAATGGCATTGTATTACTAGGAAACTACAGGTCGGCAGTTCAGCTGGGACTTGTAGTTCCCTGTATGACAGAAGGCTGTTTTAATTAATTCCTCATGAAAGTACTAGTAATACAATGTCATTATAGAAACATAGAATAGAATATAGTTGAACTTGAAAGTTACTGTACTATAATGCCATTGTATTATTAGTATTTTCATGAGGGATTCATTAAAACAGCCTTCTATCGTACAGGGGACTACAAGTCCCAGCATGCACTCACTGTCCCTTAACACCTCTCACATATCACCCAGTGAACTAATGCAGGGGGCTTGCATGCTGAACTTGTAGTTCCCTGGGTGATTTATATGTGGGGGTGTACAAGGACAATGAGGACATGATGGGACTTGTAGTTCCCTGGAAGTCCCAGCATGTCTTTGTTGTTATACCCCCAGGGGCCTGGAAAGGAAGTAGAGGGCCCAGCCCAGTAACCGCCGAGGCCGTGACACTGCCTCCTGGGACTACATCTCCCAGCAGGCCATTGCTCCGCAGCGTGGGGGGGGCCCTTTATGGCTCCTTGCACCGGGGCCCTGAGGTTCCTAGTTACGCCTCTGGCTTGTATAGCTCCCCTGCGTGCCCTGTAGAGGTGACAGGAGCCAGAATGTGATGTCACTCCAGTCCAGGCACCTCTACAGGACATGCGCGTGAGCAATAAGCAATGCACATATGGCTGGTGCATCCCCCCAGCCCACCACAAGTTGCCACTCTGTGCCGGGCAAAATTTTTTGAATGGCTGCTCGGTGTGAGAACTGACAGTGCTGCACTAGGGGGAGGCTGAGGAGCCTCTCACCTAGAAAAGTGGAAGGCATGCAGCGACCCACTGTACACGGGGTCGCAACCCACTTTTGGGTCACAACCCACCAGTTGAGAACCAAGGGATTAGATGATCCACATACAGGAGCAATTGCCTGGGAAGTATAATCTATACCAGGGGTGCCCACAATTTTTTGTGTTAAGATCTACTTTTCAAATGACGAGCTACATGAGATCTACCAACGAAAAAAAACCTCCCTCGCTCTCTCTCTACTGGCAGTCATTCCTCGTTTTCTCTCCTGGCTGTCTCTCCTTGCTCTCTCTCCTGGCTGTCTCTCCTGGCTGTCTCTCCTTGCTCTCTCTCCTGGCTGTCTCTCCTTGCTCTCTCTCCTGGCTGTCTCTACTTGCTCTCTCTCCTGGCTGTCTCTCTTAGCTCTCTTGGCTGTCTCTCCTTGCTCTCTCCCCTTGCTGTCTCTCCTCTCTCTCTTTCCTGGCTGTCTCTCTCCTGGCTCACCTTGCTGTATTTTGCAAACAGTGCAGTGCAACAGGCTGTGTAAACGAATATTCTTTGATGTAATACATAGCTCTTCAACCACCAGTATTCACCAGAAAGGTGTCAGGGAGCTTGGCTCGGCAGACTCAGGCTAATAGGTAATCATGTGTGCACACCTATTATACCAAAATGGAATAAAGGGGCCGCCATTTACACCCTTCGTGATCTACCAGCCTCAGCTATGAGAGCTACTGGTAGATCACGATCTACCTAATGGGCACCCCTGGTCTATAGTGTCATGTATATGGGTGTATTAAGGGGCGTATAGCATAAATTGGGGCTTTTTTTTCCATGGCTGGGACATCCAGCTCATGCACACAACCGCACCATAGACATAAATTGCTGTGCATGGCTGTAGGCAGGTATATGCCAGTTCTGGCATATACCCATGTACAGCCACGCACAGCAATTCATTTCTATAGGCTGCTGTACCCAACATTTGGCCTTCCTGGATGTGAAATAAAAATCCCCAATTTTTGTAGTATGCCTCTTAATTTGCTACTGTGCATGAGGCCAAAGTTTATGTTTCTCAGATCAGCTTTTTCTGCGTTTAGAAGTTCTTGCCTTAAAAGTGTGTTTAGTTGTGTTTAGCTGCATTTACACATATATTAGAATTTCTAATCAGATTCTGGATGCGCAGAATTCAATTCAATGCAGCTCAACTGAAACTGACCTCAAACACAGGTAACTATACAGTCTGAATGATACCATTGGAAATCATTATCTGCATATAGAAAATATGCGTTCAAGGCTGAGTTCACACAGACAGCGGATTTTACTGCCCCTGGGAAAAGCGATCCATTGTGGATCGCTTTTCAGAGGTGGTTGAGCGGCGGTTTGCGGGCATTCAGGAGGCGATGTTGGTGCCCCATGAATGCCTTTTTTTTGTCTATTGCAGGGAATTTATATGGGAATACTGCACTGCAACACAGCAATAGTTTAGAAAATATTCCACCAGCACACCAAGGATCTTCGTAAAAACTAAAAGAAACGCTGGATTCCCCCCTCCCCAGTCCGTTCCGCCAGTCAGCGCTCTGGTACAG